CAAGCGTCTTTATCTATTTTGAAATCTACTGTCTCCTACATCTATCACTGAGACGAATAGGATGCTTCTTCTGTTTTTTACAATATACAACAGCTTATAAATTACTTTTCTAGGTCTATTATAGCTTCAGAAGTTAAAAAGAAACTCTGATTGATTACTATTCCTCCTAGCATTCTTTTTCTAATATTGGTAATATTTTATGGAGAATACCTTGTCTATTGTCTCAGTACAGAAAAGAAGTCCTGCTAAATAACTGAGAAAAAATGAGGCACCACAAATTTAAAAAGAAATATATTAAAATATAAGATATAGAGCAGTAAATACAAGAGCAGGCATTTTAACCTGAATTTATTACTGATCTGGATTTGCCTGAGAGAGACATTTTTCTACATCTTCATTGCACATTTGTGATTAGAAAATAGCCTTGAAACACTAGTTTCTGGACAGTGACTCACACTGCAGCTTGTTAGATTATGCCACATGTGTTAATAGCATTCATATTAGGTGTTTTATGCAGATAGGTACTTCTTTGAAGCTTATTATCCTGAAAATAAAATTTTGTGACTACCATTCTCACATTGCATTTGAAAATGTCAATATGTGGCTGTTGTTTATTAAATTCAGTTGCATGTGTTTAAATTAATATTTTTAAATATGATGGTGTCAGGGCAAATGCAATATTTGCCATTTATATTTATGCTTACATGTCCTACAGCTCATAATGACACAGTTAACTTTAAGCTTTGACTTAATGCCAGTAATTGCCACCAAAACAGCAAGCCACAGGCTATAACATATAGCAATAATAGCCGAGATAAGAATATGTTCTACACAGCCTCTAACAAGGCATGGCAGCTCCAAGAAGCAATTAACAGCAAGCTGCCACTGGTCATCTTTATCTCAGTGCTCTAGTTTTATTTCTGGATATGTGTTTCACACTATATTCTGTCCTTAAAAATCACAAAATAAGATACACCACAGTGTGTGTAATATTTTGTAATATGTGAATGTCATAGCAGTTTGAAAACATTATAAAATATGAATATGTGAACTATACTTTTGTTAGTTTGGTATTTGATGTATATCCATCATTACTGAACATTTACAGTTACCTTACTTGATTCAGGAATAACCAATGATGTTTAATGTTTATAAGTTGCTTTTTACTTGCCCAGTTTCTCCTGATTAGCTTTGATAGCAAGGGGTAGCTTGATTTCTCATTCAAAACAGACTGATGAGTTTGACTTCACAATTTTATTTCTACAAACATTGTTCTGTACTTTTGAAGGCACACAGATCTTGTAGCATTCCATAACCATCAGCAGTATTTGTCTTTAATTCCACTTCACGGAACATACCTTATAATCATTCAGGTAAACACATTCATTTATTGTTGAGTGCCATTTCAAAGAAAACAAAACTGCACATTACATCTTCCATGCATTGTACACTCATAAATACATGGGTAGTACAATTATATTCAGTGAGTGAAACATGACCAATCAATACCATCCATATGGCAGAGGTATTAAAGCATTATTTTATGGATGCCCCGTATTTTGCCATTTTAATTACTATTATTCTTTGCTCATGTACCGGCCCCTTTTTTAACAGTTTTATACAGTATACTGAAAACCTCCATGGATTTCCATAATTATAATAGTTAGTGCTTGTAGTGATATTATAAGGATCATTTGACCAGGATGTCAAAGGAAAAGGAAAGGAAGAAAGGAAAACACCAGGTTATGCTAACCCATTACCTATATATAAAGCTCCAATGGCAGCTTTTAGAACTAATTAAGACAAGAGAGCGATATGGATGGAATCTGGGGTGAACCATTAGCTAATGGGCTGGGCAATCATTTGTGGTAGGTCAGTTACCATGGCTCCAAGGAGGAAGATAAAACATGATGATTATGTATCTATTGATAACAAAGTTAATGTTTTTAACTGCAATCAATACATGCAGAAAATAAAATGGTACCTGTAATAACAACTGTGGCCAAAGCTAAAAGAAAAATTACTTAAAGAGGAGACTGAGTGTAAATCCCAAGCGCATCATTTCCAAAACAAGCACTCACTTCAACTTCATGTGAAAGCAAACTGTAAAGTCAAACTTTTAGGATTCTTATCTGCTCAGTTGAAAGCCCAACATAATCTAGTGTTACTTGTAGTCACTGATATGACAAGTTAGCAATGTTAAATTCTAAGATTGTTTTACTGGTGTGTGCAAGTAAATACCCGTTTAGTTCACTGTGAAATATATGTTTTCTGCACCTCCTTGTAATGCCTTCAGGAAGGCATGTAGGGAAAGTGTTTTTTATGCTATATTCTGAATTACTCAATTAACAATGAAAGCATTAAGTTTTAATTCTGTTGCACAATAACAAGTCCTGCAAGTCCTCTTACTGTGTACAGACTAAGAGATAATCAGAAACTAGAGTTAACAATAGACAGTTATAAACTAATGTTACAGAATGGTCCAAATATGTTTTGGTCATCAAGATTTTCCATAAAATATCATAATGATGCATGATAGGCATGTCCTCCTATTATAGTTTGTTTTTAAGAGTTCAATACATTTTCACATAAATCCAGGATGTGTGTTACAAATGATTTCTTATTTAGAAGTGTTTTAGCTAGACTCCACAATTCTGATCTCAGGTTTGTTGTAGTGTTTGGAAGTGGAGCTTGTTTTTGTGTTGTGTGTGGATTTTCATCAGGTAGCAGTAACAAGTGAACAGCATTAAATAAGCCCCTCTGGCATATTTTGCCATATTTAAAATTGAAAAAGAGCAGCATTCGAGCTTAAAAAGTTAACCTGCATTTACAGAAACATAAAAATAAGTATACATTCAAAAACTCATATCACATAATATAACATTGAAGGAAAACAGATTAAGAAAATCTGGTGGACTACAAAAGGCACATTTCTCACTGAATAACAGAGTTTGAAAATTTTGTATTTTTTTTTTCAAGTAATACATCTTAACTTTCCTTCTTCAATTTGGAGTGTATTATAAATAGCAATTATAAATGGGTGCACTTTAGCAGTGAACAACTACTGTATCTTCTTTGACTGAATTCAGTATAAAACATTTTGATGCATAAGTGACCTTAGCTACATTTTACTGTATATAGTGTAGCTGTTCGGTTTCTTGAATCTTTATTTTCTTCTTCTTGGAGGTTTTTTTTTTACATCCAACCAGCCTTTTTCCAATCGCTGTATCCAACTCAAGGTTGCAGGGGAGTGGGAACCTATTTCAGCAAGCAGACTACACCCTTGATGGGACGCGCAGGGCACACACTGATATGCACACATTCACACCAGGGCCAATTGTCAAAGAAGCCAATTAACCTACCAGTATGAGACCCAGCGAAAACATATGCAAATAAAGATAAACAAAGATAGCACCCCAGGTCCGGAATTGAGCCCAGGGCCCCATTGCTACAAGGCTGGCAATGCACCACCACACTGTCCTTTTTTTTTACATCAATACTGTACATTAAATTAATAAATATTGGTCAATACTGTGAATCATTGTCCATAGTTTAAATGTGTGTTTGTCAATAACTACCTATGACTCTTAAAATGAGGTTAAGAATAATGGGTTTTGGGAGATTGGAATGCATGGGTTTGTAACTTTGCATGGTCTCCTTTCCGAAAGATCATATATTGATGATATTCATTGGAGTCTTATTTTTAAAAAAAGGAAGAACCTTTTGTAATGAACATTACGCAGAGAGTCATTTTAACTTCTGCAAGATACTTTCAAAATGAATGTAATATAAGCAAAAGTACTGTCTCTTGCCAGAGTCTAGTATTACTACTGTGGCAGGAAAGTAGCACAGACTTTGTTAATGCTGTGTGGTAACTGGAAAGGTTATATAACACTGTGACCCCAATCCTCTACCACTGAAAACTCATTAAAACAAGACAAAGCACAGAAAATTGTTGCAAGAATTAATAGAAATATCAAGGTGTCAGATAGAGTGCAGTGGTTACATCTCCATCTACTTAGATTGCATGCTCTTTTTAGAAGTAATTCGCACATTTACTTACAATGCAAGATGTTTGGCATTGTTTAATCAATTCACTCTTTCCTGTAGGGATTCAATTACTGCCTATTCTTTTCAAATCCTGAGTCCTTGGGCTTTTTAGGAGACTTCAACCCAAGGTTCTTTTTTATACCAGCTGGAATTCAGGGTCATTAAATGAGCCTTTTCACTCCTTCAGGGGCAAACGTGTACTATGGATTTTTAACGTTACAGAAAACAAATGAATTGAAAGGAAAATGCATGACCTGTGTGGATGCTAATTCTAAACACAGTTTATGTCTTTAAAGGTGTGATTGAAATCATACACAGAATTTTAAATTGACGGCTGAGTGAATGACGCATTCATGATCAAGACAGCACTGTACTGTACCAATATGTTTTCCTGATTGAAAACATGAAAATCAAACATTCAAAATCAGTGAAAGTCCTCTAGCACAACCAGGGAAAAGCCTGGTGTTGTTTGATAAAGTTTTACTAGAAACCAGGATGATCTTGTGTTAATTGTAACTATAAAACGTGCTTTATAGCCTGCTGTTTTCTTCTTCATATGTTGACTAACATGTCCATGAAAGAATAAGTTCTACTTTTACCTTTTAGCCAATGACGTAAAAAGCTGACAAATTTTTCTCTGTAGAATTAGAAGGAAAAGCGGTGTTTAATGGCTGGTGTATCCGTGTATACCAATATATATATATATTGCCAAAACACATCACTACAACATTTAATAAATTTCTTTTAGAATACTGATAGGAGTCAAGGGGAGCTTTTAATGAATGATACTTCTCTGTAGCACCCACCAGAGTGGTATTGTGAAATTCAGCTTTTTTCCTTTTACTCTTTCTACAGAACTAGTATAATCAAAAATGTTGCCATTGCAAAAAAAAAATATGTTTGAAAAAATAAAGTGTAAACTTCTACAATGTTTTTTTTTTTCTCCTTAGCTGGACAGTGCAACATCTCTTATCCAGGCAGCCAAGAATCTGATGAATGCAGTTGTACTTACTGTCAAGGCCTCTTATGTGGCTTCCACGAAATACCAGAAGGTCTATGGGACAGCTGCAGTGAACTCGCCTGTTGTGTCTTGGAGGATGAAAGCCCCAGAGAAGAAGCCCCTAGTCAAGAGAGAGAAGCCAGAGGAGTGTCAGACACGAGTGAGACGGGGATCCCAGAAGAAGCACATCTCACCTGTTCAGGCTCTGAGCGAATTTAAGGCCATGGATTCATTTTAATTCATGTAGCACAAAGGAATAAATGCTTAGCACCTAATCTTTCTTTTTTTTTTTGGTGAAAGGCATACCTGCCAGCTCTTATATATGGTGAACATACAGTACCCCAGATAATTCGCATGTTAAAGTGTCAACCCAGTAATGCCAAGACACTTCGGGATCAGTTACTCAGACATTGGCAGTAAAGTCACAGAATAACGTTATTTTATAGGCAAACATTTCTGGCTTTAAAGTAAACACAGATGATTCAGATAGAACCATTTGCTAGGGTAATGTGTTGGCAGGTATGACAGTATAAAAGTGGACCCCTAATACTAAGGTTATAAGGATTTGTTTACTGTGAACATGATTATTATCACTATTATAATAATTATCATTATTGGCAGACCATGAGGACAAAGGTTAAACAGTCTAATCTCAGCTTTAGAAGTTTAGAAATATGCAGTCAAAGATAAAGGGATCTACAAGGCTGTTCAGTTTCTCCCTAACCTTATTAATACTTTGGTTTTAATGTTAACTGTAGTGCTATGAAATTCCTTATGTTACAAATATATGGAAACGTTAGCAACTGAGTCTTTTTCTTCTACCTATTAACCCATATAGTGTTATATGAAGCACAATATGGTAACTGGCATTGTCTTTTTTATTTATTTTAAATTATATCACTAGATATTGCAGCCTGGTGGGACATTGCGTAGAACTTAATAAATTTAATTTAGAGAGAACAGTACGAGTAGTTGTGTGGATTGCTTGAAAAATAAGTGTCTAACATGCCTTTGTATCCACAGTTCTCAAATAAACCCTTTAACTTGACTGTAAGAATTTTATTTTGTGTTCTATTCAATTTCAGACTCAAGGATATTAACATATTAAGGAAACTGAAGCATCTCACACTAATTAATTGTCAATCCCTAGTAAAGATGTTAAGAAAGATGTGACTGATATAGTTCAAAATTTAACTTCTGAAAAATAATTTGATAATTGTTCAAATATCCCCATGCTTATAAGCTTCATTCTAATAGTATTCATGCACAATAAAAACAGATTAAGGATTCCCAGAGTAAATGTAGCACAAACTGCATAAAGAAATGTGTGAAATTATAATCATTCCACTTTTCAAAATATAAATACACTAGAATTTTCCAACTACCCCACATTTCTGTTTCTATATCTTTAATTATTGTTTAGAAAACAGCATTAATAAAATTAACACATTTATGCCAAACCTTTGTAAAAAGTAAAAATTGTATATTTTTAAACAAATACATATTTGTACACCTTTTGATTCACTATTCAAAGATTCACTCCACTGATTGTAATACACACAGATTTGAAAGTACTGCAAATGCTTTTTTTTAAAGTTGTCTTATGTTCTTATTATACATGCATTAATCACTTAACTTTTTGTAGATTGTCAGGCAAATCTTTATTTTTAGCCTTATTTAACCCCTTCTGATCCTTCATCTTCAAAGCTGTAATTTTATGAGTAAGATATTTGGAATTTCTTAATACCTAGTTACAGTTCAACAATATATTCTTATAGAAAATTCTGGAAAATAGATGTGGAATTAATGTTAGTTTTAGAAGTATTTCCCCAGGCCTCTGAAAAATAATATAAATATGGAATAATAAGCAAATAATACGTCACACGCTTGCAGTGTTGTTTTTAAGATTGGAATTATAAGTCTTAAGTATTTTTTAATTATTCAAAGTTAATACTAATATAAAATATTTATATATGTTATATGATATATACAGTATATAATGTAATATTGGAAGTCACATAAATTCTGTTCCATATACTTACCATATATGAACATTAGTCAAATTAACTTGTGAATTATTTTCACAAATGCTAATTTGGTTATATTTACTTCTGCTTAAATAACACTGTAATTTAGCAAATCATGTATTTGATTTATCAATCAACACTGGTTGCTTTCTGAAGGTGTTGTATATCACTTCCTGAAAATAAATATCTGCAAGAAAACAAAGACAGTAATAGCTTTGATACATTACACATAAATGTAATTTGATGCATAAATATCCAAAATAACTTAGAGCTCAGTCTGTTAACAATTATTGTTTTTGAAAACAGGCCTGTTAAAAAATATGAACTTCCATCACATTATTTACTACACATCTAATATCACAACTTTCCAGTCACTTCTAATATCACAACTTTACAGTAGTTGGTCTTCTTAAACTATGTAGAAACACCAACCATATTCTTCATCTTTGATTTATTTAGAAGTAACACAGACCTTTATCTTCTGTAAGAAACTTGCAATTGATATTTTATTTACCAAATTAAGTCTTATTATAGGCTTACCAAATTTCATAGGAAGATGTGTTCTAACATTGGCATTATGCATAGTGCAATTAGGATATCTTAAAGTCTTGCCTCTTTATAAATAATAATATTTATTCAGATTCTGTTTCTAACATTTTTCTTTTAGTGGCAAGGAAAAGCTTATCGTACAGCATACAGAAATGCATTAGAACCATTTTCACATCCATTATTAACATCTTGGCTGTGCATAACGTATCAGTTTTATGGTGTGTGGTTGTCGAAAATTATACTAGACCAAATGTAAAAGCAATATTTTCCATATTTTTTCATTCTTCGTTTTGTTGCTGATAATGGTTGAAAATTATTTCTGCGTGGTGGGCACTGACAAAACTCTTGCAATTAGTACAATGCATATCTTGGAAGCATCATTATCCTATGGGAGATAATCAATGCCAGACCACAGTGTCTGAAGAAAAATATAGTGTGACAATGCAGTAAGATCAAATAGTGGAATGAAACTCTGAAAGCTCATCCGACCATAAGGATGGGGCTTTCAGAACCTCCCCCCTCCCTCCCCTCCAATTTTAATGAGCTAGGATGCTGCTGCAAGGGTGAATATAGGTTGAAGGGAAAGACCCAAAAGCCAAACTCACAGGATGAGGGTTTTGGCCTTCTCCCAGACTTCTGTTTAAAACGCCATATAATATCAGGGTTTCTCACCTTTTTTCAAGGCCATCTTAGGAGTGTGTCAGGGTACACATAAAATTCAAAATTTAAAAAATAAGCTGTGGTTACACAGTGTTATATATAGCTGTCTGTTGTAATAATCATATCAATATAAATATGTATAAATATTTACACTGCTTATGCTCAGATATTTTGGCTTTCTTCAAGTAAATACTCTAAACTGGTGGAATTGGAGAAAGGCTGACACAGAAAGTTGTTTACAGCTTATATTCCAGCTCTTCATTTCTGTAACAGTCAGCTGAAAGCCATGATTCACAAAGGGTAAGATAGGAATGTGGAAATGAAAGTCACTGGCAGTCCATCGCTGTAGTTAAAAAGGTGGAAGCTACACTATTAAGTGTCAGTCAAAGCATTATTCCATTTAGACTATTATACTGTACATCCATATTCTAACAGCTTTATTCAGTAAAGTCTCGCAGGGGGAGCTACTGTAGAGCCTATCCTGGCAAGCAACATGCTCAAGGCAGGATACACCCTGGGTGGGATGCCAGTTCATCACAGGGCACTGTATATGAATGTGTCAATTAAAATAAACTATTTGTTTATAAATACAATAAAAACCTGACAAAATTCAATATATAAAAAGGAACCAAGACAACATGACAGTGCCAAAAATCAGTAATTTGGTTACAATTATGGAATGAAACATTAATTCATCCATCCATTTTTTAACCACTTCATCTTATTCAGTGTTGAGGAGAAGTCAGCAAGCAACGGGCCCAAGGCAATACCGACCACTGTGTCACCATGCTGTCCTATAATAGTTTGTATAATAATACAATTTATTGAAGTACTTTTCACAGTGAATCAGCAATATGTAACAGGAATATGTCCAAGACTCTTACACTGAAATACATTACACAAGTGTAAACTGTAATCTGTAATCTGTAATAATGTAAAAGCAAAACAAGGGAAACAAAATTCACCACATTAACACTGAGTGATTAATACTGTACCTGTTGATCAGATTAACGCTTTGTTCACCATTTCATAATAGACAATCTGCTTTTGGCTGGAAGAATGATTGCAGTCCTGTCTATCCTCTAGCAGACTGATTCTAATGGAAATACTATAAATGATTTAGGTCATAATTTTGTTTTGGGGCAGTGATGAATAGCAGCATTTGTGTGGGTGGCAAAAGATAACAACATTTCTGCTCTTGTGAGAAATTGCAGTCACACTATCTGCAGCTTACTCCACCGGTTTCTTCTCATTAAATGGTACATGTGTTTTTTTTAATAAAGACTTATCCACTTCATGGCAAGAAAAAGTAATGGAAGCATTTGCCTTTAGTTGCATACTGTACAGTGCCTTGCAAAAGTAACCACTGCCCTTCCAGCAACACTCCATGTTGTTAAATGACAAATAGTAATTTATTAATAATAAGTACAGTATATACAGGACAATGATACAAGTGATTTTTTTTAATCAAACCTTGAATGCATACGCTGCACACTTTAATCAGTAAAGGAAGATATTGTAAATGTCAACCAGACCTGCAAATAAAATGTTTCCTGACATAACTGCCCCTTACAATTAAACCTTGAAAAAATCAGTTTAATATTTTCAAAAGTTGTGCAAGAAGGATGACATCGATCACCTGTAATACTGTACATTCCATTTTCAGTGTTAAATGTTTTTGCATTGAGACATTAGAATCAGAAACTTTTATTCACCAAGTACAACATATGCAGGTGTCAACATAAATTCTACTAAGATAAAAGAAACACAAAAAAAAACCTAGAGATAAAAACAAATCTCAGTGATATGTAAAATGTAAAAGTATATACAGCTGAGTAATAAAATGTACAGTGAATACTGCGTATATTTACAGAAAATATCGGAAGCATGTGCCATTAAATAAAAAAATGTACAACTGATCTCAGAGGAGGGATAAGAGAAATATCCCTTCTGGAAGGGCATCCCCTGAAGTTTATGACTGCTGGAGTTACTCAAAGTGCTATTTTTTAATGCAAGCTTCTTTAAACATTTAGCAAAGTACTTACACCACTAATTCTACAAGAGTTTGATGAAAGAAATGTATAGTGAATAATACAGAGACATGAGAATTCCTTTAAAGAGCAAAAGGTTCCCGGTTAAATTGTCATAATCTGACATCTATTTTGTTCCCTAGTAGTTTGAATTAATTGATTCCTTGCTTCCTTGCTTGTTCTACAGACCTGATGTGGAGTGGGGTTGCTGGTAAAGAATGGCTGCTATGTTTCACTCAAAAATGGGTATATTAATCCAATTTATTATTATCATCATCATTATTGGGCATTGGATCGGCAAATGTTCTGAGACACTAGTTTTCTAAAGAATGAAAAATGGAGACACCTTCCTGCACAACTTCAAAACATGTTGTAAATGCATCCCTGTCAGGCTAAAGAGGTATGGCATGCCGTCACATATCCAAGCCAACTTCTGCAGGTGCACTATTGAGAGTATGCTGGTATGGGAGCTCCCTGGTATGGGAGCTGCTCTGCCCGGAATCACAAAGTAGTGCAGAGGGTGGTGAAGTCAGCGCAGCTCATCACCGGCTGGGTGCTACCGGACATCAAGGATATCTTCTCTGTTAGATGCCTTATGAAGGCCAGGTCTATACTCAAGGACCCCAGTCACCCAAACCACAATCTGTTTTCCCAACTACCATCTGGAAAACAATACCGAAGCTTACACACAAAGACCAGCAGATTTCAAAGCAGCTTTTTCCCCAGGGCAATAAGACTGCTGAACAGCCAGCCACAGTAGCCACTAGCATTTAACCAAATGACCACTG